TTAGAAGTCTGCTGTCAAAAATGCTTGCTCTCTAGATAGATTTGAATGATTAAATTGTTTGACCTAGATAACTGCTAAATCACATTAAGTGTATTGAAATAAAGTTGTAGGCAATTTTATAAGCTTTCCAGAATGTCTACAACCATATTATTTTGATGTGTATAACTCCAGTTATGGTCAAAACAAGTGGCTTCTGTCTTTAGTCCAGAAAATGACTTACATAAGTGTTTGCTTAAGTTACTAGAGAAGAGATATGCACCTACTCAGTAAAATAAGATGAAACTTTCTATTACTTTAATGCAAAGCTATTGAAAACACTTTGGATGATGCATTCATCACATCATATCATATTATACATGTCATCGTATATCCATTCGTGATAGCTTATTTCATGCTCATGCATATAGGATCGTTTGAAGAAATAACTCTGTTGGAGTTCAACAAAGAAGATGAGGAGGATCAGCAGGAGATGCCTCAAGCCGCAGCTCTAGGAGAAGAGGAGCAAACTCTCGTAGATCTCTCTAAGTGCCCGGTTCACCGACCAACCTCTTTCCTCAAAGGCAAGCCCCATAGTATTCTAAGTCTCCCATGTTTTATAAAATATTACTTGAGTCCTTTATGTTTGATGCATTAGGTTATAAGAGTTGATTTGAAACACTTGATGCATAGAACTATCTTGTCCAGCTACATATACCTTTAACCCTATGTAGGTCTAGGATCGAATATATGCTTAGCCATGCTTAGACCGGTAGAAGTCGGGTGATTTCCTGTCATCTACGAGATATAGGTGGATACCAAAGCACGGTTGGCTATATTTACTATCGTAGAAAAGAACCATGGGGTAATGTAAATAGAGGCCAGGTGGAGTCTATGTGTAGGTTGACTCATGTGATTCCGTCTGTGCCGATTAAGGACTGTACCTTTGTTGGGCGCTTCTAACAAGATTGAACACATGTCTCTCACTTAGCTGGCTGGATAATTCATTCCGACTGCGAAGCTGAGTAGCTCAACTCTGGCCGGGCCCCGTTTTATAAAAGTGTGCATTCTGAATGGTAGTAAGGATGTGCGGGGAGCCAGACGTGAGCCCAAGGGTAGGCCGGGCCTAAACGTCCTGGCAGCTGGTTGTCCCTGATTGTGCGGCGCTAGGCGAACCCGTGAAATGTGGACCTGAGTTGTACCAAAGGTGACCGTTGATCTGATCTGCCTGGGTTTGTGTTAGGAATAAATTCCCAACTGGTTGAAATCTATTCGAATCGCCATCTCTCCTGGACAGTGAAAAACTTGGCTAGTACCAACATCGTAGTTACTGTGATATGGAACATGATGGTTCGGATGAACATGGAATTACTACACCGGCTATGGTTACTATTGTATGCTACTAAATGATATACTACATGTTTGGCACACGTTAGTTGCTAACTTAAAGATGAATAACTATAATTAATTTGATGACCGAATTATAATTGTACAACTGAGTTAGTCATTTTTCATGTAAAATATTGTCAAGCTACCTCCACTTATAAAGCCTTGCATAATCCTTGGAGTCACTTTATTTTTGGTTTATGACGGGTAAGTCTAGCTGAGTACCTTCTCGTACTCAGGGTTTTATTTCCATTGTTGCAGATGGTACAGTTTATCACGGCTATTGCAAGAACTGCTTCTATCCCACCATGGACAAGGAGTGAGCCCTGGGCAGGCATCTTTTATTAATCCTTCTTATATGCTTTTGTAGGAGTGTGATCATGAACTGGCACTATGTATTTGAACTATGATGACAGATGTTAGTTTCAAACTTTAATTTGCTTCTGCTATTATTTACTAAACTTGGTTTGTAATAACCTTAATTCGTACTCTGATGAATGAACTGTATTTGTGAACTTATGTAACATGTGACATGAATGTTGAATCATGTACGATCTTGGTTGTATGTTGATGGTTAATCGAGACCCGTCGTGGTATTCGACGGACTACCGGGTTTATATGGGTTCAAGTATCATAGTGCGACCGCTTGCGGACTGCCATTGTACTTGTGTTTGTTCGGTCTGATAGCTCGAGTGGGCCAGCCACGACGAGTGGGCCTCAAGTAGAGAGCGAGTGGACCAGATACGTATGAGCTAGATCCACTAAAAACGAACGAGCCAGATGAAAAGGGCCCAGATAAAAAAAAGGCAGAAATTTTGTCTTTTTATCATTATTATTATGTATAGATTTAGGAGCTGTCTACCAGCGACGATCATGACGGGCGTTAGGGGGCACTAGCCATAGAGGTAACCGTTCTTTGGACTTAGGCCATGGTTGATCCCATGGTATAAAGTTTAGGCACTAAATGTTAAACCGTTTACCTCTTGAGGACCGACGACTCTAAGCTGAAGGTCTAAAATGTTGTCTAAAGTTTAGACCATTTTACAAAAAACTTTAGGCCAAATAAGTAAGTTAAAATGGTCTAAAGTTTTAATCCTCAACTTTAGTCAACTAACTTTAGACCTATGAATCCAAATGGCCCTTTATTCTTCAGAGTACATAGCATGCATGCAAGTTTGTCCGTAGCCGTTTTGGTATTTTAGTGTGTCGAATTCTTCGTTCATACTAGTGGAGATGCTTCGTTTGGTGTTTTTCCACCATAGTCTGTTAGAAGATATCACATTACCACGTCCGTTTGGGCTCTACAACACAATCAGGCCCGTTTGATTCCTTAGAATTGAATTCATTTTAATAATTATAATTTAGATACATATTAATTAAGCTAATATGGTTGTATATGGATTATATTTCTATATTATTATTGGTTATATGAGAGAAATACTTACGTGTTGCATTTCTACTGTAGGAGAGCAAGTTGAAGAGCGTGTTATAAGTTGCAAAGTAGAAACATATAATGATGATCTATTGAATCAATTTCCATCTCTCACCCTATAAATTTGAGTTAGGCTTACATGTGAACTTTAGAAAGTGGTGGAATATCAAATTCCAACCCAAATAGCCTAATTTATTAAGTAGATTTCAACTCTTCCAAATGAAAGGATCGAAACGGCCCGTAATAGCTAGACGTAGATTCATGGAATGCCGATACACCATCCATAGTCATAATATTCCCGAGGCGTTTGGGTCCAAGAATATACAAGAGGGTTTTAAGGGTAAAAATAACATCGCGTTGCAAAGAATGAATTCTTTCTTGAAGATCAATCTGCGCCGTTGCAAAGATGGCTGTAAACACCAAAAGATGAGGTTATGTCTAGGATATCCTGATACTCCAGCTCATAATAAAGCCAATAATCTCCATATAAAAAGGCACTTGTAGCTATTTCTTCAAGCTTCTACAAATGTCTTCTAGATTATAAAGGTTACCATAAAGCAAAATTGAGATACTATCAACATCTCCTTGGAAAAGTACAGGTTAGGAAGAGATGGAAAGAAGTCTCTTCAACGACATGGTCAGGACAATGGACATAATCATAGTATTATTAGAGAGTCATGTTTCTGCATTGCACAAGATTTCTTGTGCTCAATCGATCTTTAAGGAGCAAGCAATGGAATACTTTGTGTTTGGATTGTAGAGAGGATTTCTAGATACTTTTGTAATTGCATGTGTCCAATCAAAGCTTTGTATGCCTTGGAAGAGTAGAAGTGTGAAGAACCCTAGTTATAAAACCAAGTATCATTCTCTTGGGAATCGGGGAGTCCTTGAATATAGAGAAGTTTGAAGTTGTTCAAAAACTTGCATTAACAGAGGCAAATTGAATTGATGAAAAATATGAACAATCTCCAAGATATTATTGACAATGATGTTCTTCTTGGCAAAAGAAAGAAGCTCAGGGTAGTCTTAACCGTTGATCCTGCCATTCCATAGGCCATTCCAAAAGTAACAACTTGGCCATTTAAAAACATTGATTGAAGCAATATCTTTAAAATTATTAAGCATTTCTTAAAACATCTCTCCACCAAAAAGAGCCTTTCATGACATGGCTCTTGGAAGTTTACCATTGGTGTAGTGCTTTTCCCAAACTAATGAGACCCAGGGCACATTAGCTTTGTTAAAGAGTTTGTGCTGTTTTTTCAAAAGACGAGCTTCATTTTGTGTTTTGAGATTGAGCACTCCTAGTCCACCTTCAGTTTTGGGCTTACATATCATTGGCCAGGCTGCTTTTGAGGGTGTCTTGGCATTTATATCTGCACCTCTCTAGAGGTAATGTCCATTGTTGCATGCAATTTAAAGTGCACATGTAAAAAGTTGGTAGGGAGGAGAAGACTGCATTTGTTAACTGTAATCTACCAATTTGTGAGAGGAAAGAAGATGTTGCAATCAACTTTTTCTCACACCTTGAAACCAGGCGTAAGAAGATTCTATCACTCCTGGATTGGAAGGGCCTAAAGGAAGGCCCAGGTAAGTAAAAGATAGGGAGCCTTGACAGCAGCCAAAAGGAGAAGATAAAATGGTCATCCTCTCTCCAGTTACATTAATAGGCACCATCATAGATTTCAAAGAAATAACTTTGAGCCCAGTGGAATTGCAAAAGTATTCAGTAAAGCTTTCAAATTGAACATCTGCCTACTGTAAGCTTCCATGGTAATCAAAGTATCATATGCATATTGAACAATGGGGGGAGTCATTGGTGTACTATATCTAGGAATTAGCAACTTCAGAAGTTCGACCGAAGTAGCTTTGTTGATAATTGATTGAAGTAAATCAGCGCCCAACACAAAAAGAAGGGGAGATAAAGGGTCCATTTGCCTAACCCCTCTACAACAATTGAAAGTTTTTCTGGCACCCCATTAGGTAAAACTGATGGAAGTACCAGAATTGAAGATGGCTTTCGTCCAATTTAACCATTTTCTACCAAAACCTTTGGCATGCATTATTTGGAAGACGGCTATGAGGAAGGGAGTATTATTAACTTCATAATCAATTCTAGGTTAGTACAAGTTGTTGAACAATTTGTACGCTCCGTTTCTTGGTACATTTTACGTCAGTGAAGTCTTGTGTTAGAGCACTAACTATAATCTTAGAAAGTGCCTATAATTTGCTTCAGAGAAGTGTAGGTGCCGGTGACGGCTACGAACACGCCCATCATCAGGATACCAGCGATCGCCCCGACCTCGATACGGAGAATCCCCTCGGCCCTGTAGATCTTGAGGAAGCAGAGGCAGGGGAATATGACTGTGGCCATGACGCTGAGGAATGACCCAATGAACGACATGAGGTAGCCGAAGAATGGAACCGTCGAAGCCACCACCGCCGTGCTGACGACCACCATGGTGCTGATGGACACCCTCGCCGGCGCGCTCCCAGCAGGAAGGGAGAACCTCTCCTCGATCGCCGCGGTTATCGGCGCGACCAGCAGCGCGTACTTGGCCAGCGGGTTGATCAGGGTCGTCACGATGGCGACCTTGGTGTAGAGCTTTCCCGACGGCAGGTTCAGCGTGACCTGCGACTGCACGTCGTCGCCGTAGATCATGTAGCCCAGGACCGCCGTCAGTCCGTAGTTGACGCTGCATAGCACCGACGAGATGAGCAGCACCTTGGAGAAGTGCCTGTTGTTCTTCATGGAGGAGTAGATCGTGGGGAACACGGCGTGGCCGGTAAAGCAGACGAAGTAGAGGCCCAGCGAGGTGGGTAGGCCGCCCAGGCTGAGGACGCTGGTGCAGTTCCGGCGGAACCCGGTCTCGGCCACGCCGGCCCAGACCAGCGACGCCGTCAGGACCGCCGACGCGACGAGCCCGACCGCCGAGGCGTAGGCGAGCACGCCAAGGTTCTTGAGCCACGTGGTGGGCAGCACGACGGCGGCGGCCAGCGCGATGAACAGCTGCTTCCCCTGTAGCCGGTAGCCGCCCATGAGCTGGACGCTGGAGCCCGGGAAGAGCTTGTCGAGGTTGTCGCCCTCGAGGACGAGGAAGCTGATGGCCACCAGGTAGAGCTCGACGTACATGAAGAAGGCGATGGCCCTCCGGCCGGCGGAGCCGAAGGCGAACTTGCCGATGTCCGGGTAGCTGGCGATGGCGCCCGGGTCGGCGCGCATGCAGCGCTCGATGAGCGTGCCGGTGTAGTAGCAGACGGCGCCGACGAGCGCGAAGAGCAGCAGGCTGAGCCACCCGCCCTGCGCCACCGCGTACGGCATGGACAGCACCCCGATCCCCGAGACGGCGTTGGTGAGGTTGAGGCACGTCCTGGAGAAGGACGCACCCGTGGCGCGGTACGAAGTGAGCTGCGCCTCCAGGTCGTCGGCGGCGGTGGCGAGGTCAGCGGATTTGCCCAGGACGAGAGGCTCGCTGAGCGTGCTCACCGGCAACGCCGCTGCGCAAGTGTTCTGGCTTTCCATTTTCTGATCGCTGGTGACTATAGAGCGGCGGGCGCAGAGCAGTGTATGGAAGGAGCAGATAGAAGAGAGGGGAGGGCTGTGTAGCTTTAGATGGATCGATGGATGTCGAGACTCCTGAGTTTGATGGATGTAGCACCGAGTGGTGAGTGGTGAGTGGTGAGCTGTATATATAGCCCAGTGCTCAGGCGTGCCGCCTGTTGGCGGCGAAGCTTCCTCCAACGGCTGCACGCTGCAGCCTTATCTAACGCTAGTGGAAACCTGGGACTCCGATTGGTCCCGTGGTCGCTATAGCCAATAGCTGAAGACATGCATGGCCCAGCAGACACTACTGGAACTTTGCCGAGTGCAAAATTTTTTACCGAATGTTAAAAATCGGGCACTCGACAAAGACCTTCTTTGCTGAGTGCTGTACTCGGCAAAGAATTGCACTCGGTAAATATTTCTTTGCCGAGTGCTCGACACGGACACTCGGCAAAGGACTTTTTTACCGAGCGCCAGACTCTCGGCAAAATCTCAACACTCGGCATAGGCTGTCCGTGAAAACGGCGTCCAGTCACGGCCTTCTTTGCCGAGCGCCGGATCAGGGAGGCACTCGGCAAAGATTTATTTTTTTTTTAATTTCTTTGCTGAGTGCCCCAGATCTGACACTCGGCAACGATTTTATTTTTTTTTTAAATTCTTTGCTGAGCGTCTCAGATCTGGCACTCGGCAAATAATTTTTTTTATTTTTAAAATACTTTGCCGAGTGCCCCTGGGACGGCACTCGGCAAAGATTTAATTTTTTTTTTATTATTTCTTTGCCGAGTGCTCCTGTGGATGCACTCGGCAAAGAGGAAATTTTAAAAAAAAATTTAAAACATTCTTTGCCGAGTGCCTGATGGCTGGCACTCTGGCTGGCACTCGGCAAAGACACCATTTACCGAGGGCTATGCCCCGGCACTCGGCAAAGTTTTTTTTGTTTTTTTGTTTTTGGCCTCTGGTTTGTAAGCATCGTACGGGACAACGTGCATGAAATCTTCTGAAATTTTTATCATAGCCTCCACATATGATATCACGACATCTCAACAAGTTTCATGATTTTCGGACTTAGTTTGCTTTTTATAGAATTTAAAAACACTTCACATGCAATTTCGCGGACATGTTTCGTGAACAAGATGTCCGAAATTTCAGGTCCGTTCCTGGATACGGCCTCTCACAACACTCACTAACATGACTATCAATTTTTGAATCATCAAATTTCTAATTTTCGGAAAAATTCAAGTAAACGAAATAAAGTAACTAAATTTAACAAAAAGCCACAAAAAATCCCTAAATTGTAACTAGGAGTTTCTGGTGCTTTAAAAGGGCTGCACAAAAAAAAGTGGAGGCCAAAAACAAAAAAAAAAAAAAAAACTTTGCCGAGTCTTCGGGCATAGCACTTTTCGACAAAGGGTGTCTTTTGACGAGTGCCACCATCGCACACTCTCGGCAAAGAATGTTTTAATTTTTTTAAAATTTTCTTTGCCGAAAGCACCCACAGTGAGCACTCGCAAAAAAATAATAAAAAATCTTTGCCGAAAGCCATCCCTGTGGGCACACAAAAGAAAGTATTTTAAAATAAAAAAAAATTCTTTGCCGAAGCGCCAGATCCGAGACGCCGGCTAAGAATTTAAAAAAATTTAAATCTTTGCCGAGTGCGGATCTGGGGCACTCGGCAAAGATTTTTTTTTTTTAAAAAAACAAATCCTTGCCGAGTGCCTCCCGATCCGGAACTCGACAAAAACCCGCCAGCTGGGACTTAGTGGTTTTTGGCCGGCTAGGCGGTCCACACCAGCCCACCATTTCCGCCTGCCGCCCACCTCACCACACACACATACCCACACAACTTCGTCCAGCACACCGCAGCCGCCCATACGCCACCATCACCATCACGGCCATGCAAGCGCCGCCATGGCATGCCCACAATCACCTGCCGCCCTTCACGCCGCGCGCCCTCCCCAGCGCCACCGCCCCCTGTGCCGCCCCCTGCCCCGCGCCCTTCCCCCGGCATGCCTTGCCCACTCACCACTCGCCAAGCTCACCCTTGCGTGCCCCGTCCCTTTCCTTCCCACCACGCCACCCACCCTTCCCAGCCCGCCCCCCTGCCCCAGCCTGGCCGGGCCTTCCCCAACCTTCTGCGCCCTTCTGCTAACCCGGCTGCCCTGCTAACCTCACCATGCCCTTTTTCCGGCCACGCCCTACCCACGGCACCCCGTGGACCGCCTGCCTCGACGCCATCGCGTCAGGTTCGACCCCGTCCCCGACTCCGCCCGATCCCGACGCCGCCCGCCCCTGCCCCGTCGCCCGTCAGATATGCCTTCTCACTTATTATTGTCGAGGTAGGGGTAGTAGTAGTACAACTAATGGTAGTAGTTGTAGCAATAGTGGTAGTAGTAGAAGAACCATTGGTAGTAGTAGTAGTAGCAATAGTGAAAGTAGTAGTACAAGTAGTGGTACTACTTGGATATATTCTTCTGCATGGATTGATATCCAAACTACATGGCTTCTGTTGAGCCATATGTGCTTGTCGACCATCGTGCCGTTGTTTTTTGCAGGTTTTGGAAACCTCACCGTGCAGGGAGGTTCTGCTGAATTTTTTTGTAAATGATAGTATTTTGTTCCATTTTTGTAGAGAAGAGCCCATCGGAGTTGAGTTGGAGTTCTTGCCACCGTGTCGGTCTGCCTACACCGCGTTGTCTCGCCACTGCACCGACCCACCATGGCCCCGCTAGCCTGACTCCGCCGCCACCCTAGGTATAACCCCTCTTTTCGTATCATTGTCGTAGATCGCGTAACCCAGTTAGGCATCTCCCGTTCGAAAGATATACGGTTGGAGGTATGCGGATCTTTACATATCTATGACCGTATCTATTTCGGATTGTCCACGCTTTTTGGACAGCCCGCGGATGCTTAGATGGGTTAGTTCCCATGTTCTGCTCTAGTCCGAGATAGAGTTTCGGCATCACCTCCCTGTTGTTCTCCGGATACACACTCTTCTTTGGCAGGACGTGTATCTAGAGAACAGCGGGGAGGTGCTGCCGAAATTCTATCTCGGATAGGAGTAGAGCATGGAAACTAACCTTATCTACGCATCTACGGGTAGGATTAGGACCTATCCTCACCTCTTAGACAATAGGAACACCATGTAGATGCAATTGATGGTTACATTACTCGTCGATACATATGTTAGAGGATGGATGACCGTCAGTGGATGTACACGGGCTGGAGAAGTCAGAGTGATTACACCACGAAATGGATAAACAAGACCGATGCTTTCTTGAACAGTGCATTTGGCAATGCTGCTAAAGGACATTGCCTAGTTTTGTGTCCCTGCAGCAAATGTGGAAACAGGAGAAGGGTAAACAAGGTGGAAATGGGTAAACATCTTGTGAAGAATGGATTTACGCCGGACTACACCCGGTGGGTCCACCATGGCGAAGCCCATCATATGAGAGAGGAGGTGGTGAGACCACGGGTGGAGGCTTTTGATGCTGATGCCGGGTAGCAGACATGTTAGATGACTTTCACCAAGGACAGTTCGATGAGGGACGTGAGAAGGAGGAAATGGAGGCAGCCGTACATGCGTTCTACGATATGATGGACTCGGCACAGAAACCCCTTCATGATCGGTCAATGGTGTCTCAACTAGGATGCCATTGGACGCTTAATGGGGTTGAAGTCCGAGTTAAACTTGAGTCGACCTGGCCTTGATAAGATGTTGGCCGTGATTGGCACCCTGCTTTCGGAGGGCCACATTCTGCCAAAGAGCATGTACGAGTCATAGAAACTCCTTTGAGCACTTAAGATGCCGTATGAGCAGATACATGCTTGTCCAAAAGGGTGCGTCCTATTTAGGAAAGAACACGAGCATGCAAAGTTCTGTCCAAAGTGTAAATCCTCCAAGTACCTAGAGGTAGACTCTGATGATGGTCAGAAGAGGCAACTTACGATCCCCATGAAAATCCTATGGTACCTTCCGTTCCTACCGAGGATCCAACGGCTATACATGACCGAGGAATCCACGAAACAGATGACATGGCACAAAAATGGCAAACGGTACAATCCTGACAAGATGGTACATCCATCCGATGGTGAAGCTTGGATCCGCTTTAATGACAAACATCGTGACAAAGCAGATGAGGCTCGTAATGTATGTGTCGCGTTGGCAACAGATGGGTTCAATCCTTATGGAATGATGGCTGCCCCATAAACGTGTTGGCCCGTCTTTGTTATCCCCCTTAATCTCCCCCTGGTGTCTCCTTTCAACGACATAACGTATTCTTGTCGTTGATAATTCCAGGACACCCAGGGAGTAATATGGGTGTGTTCATGGAGCCCGTGTTTGATGAATTGGTCCGTGCTTGGGACGAAGAGGTATGGACATACGATCGAGCTACAAAGACAACCTTCAAAATGCACGCTTGGTACCACTACTCCTGCATGACTTCTGGCGTATGGGATATTCTCGCTACCGGTGTGTTCACGGGAAGTTCCCATGCCCAATATGCAAGGAAGGTGTGAGGTTTATTTGGTTGTAGAAGGGTGGCAAGTATTCATCGTTTGACAGACATCGTCAATTCCTACCTCTTGACCATCCATTCAGACAAGACATCAAGAACTTTACGAAAGGTGTCAAAGTGACAAACCCTGCACCGCGGATGATGAATGGTGCCGAGGTTCATGCTCAGATAGGTGCTCTCGTTCCCAATGAAGAAGGTGGTTTTGTGGGATATGGTGAGCAGCATATGTGGACTCATATCTCGGGCATGACGAGGCTCCCCTATTTCGATGACCTTCTTCTACCACATAACATTGATGTAATGCACATTGAAAAGAATGTCACCGAGGCACTTTGGGCAACACTCATGGACACTGAAAAGTCTAAGGACAACCTAAAGGTTAGAGTAGACCTGGCAACGTTGTGCGATAGACCAAATCAAGAGATGCAACCTCCTAGTCGTGGCAAGACCTGGAGAAGGCCT